GTGGTATAATTGTTAACTTCGACCGCAAGTCATGTAAACCAATACGAGTCACATCCACGCCATCGATCACTATCTGTCCGAATGTCGGCTCTATTATCCTAAACAACGCCAAAGTGATCGACGACTTCCCGGCGCCCGTCCGGCCAACTATTCCCACCTTTTCTCCCGACTCTACCCTAAAGTTCAAATTCTTGAGCACCGGTTCAAGTCCTGGTCTATAGGAAGCGCTGTAATCAATGAACTCTATGGAAGAACCGGTGGGCCAGACATCAGAGGGTTTGTTAGCATCCGTTGATTCCCAACTATATTCTGACTCTAATTGCGAGTACTCTCTAACTCTCTCCACACAAACCATTTCTGTCTCGAGATCCGCAGCCATTCTTAGAGCCCATGAAATACTGTTAATGACATCAACCGAATAGATGAGCACAAAACCAGCCAATCCTGGAGTGATGTGCCCCCTCTCGAGGACAACAAATAATGCCGTCGAGAATGTAATCAACATTCCTATGATTGTCGACCAAATATCAATCCTATTGATTATACACATTAATAATACTGTAGTAAGAAATGAAAATATTTTTTAAGTAAGACTAACCACATAGTTGTCGAATACATATGTCTCTCAACATTAGTGTTGACATCAATATAATTCTGCAACTTTTCGGTAAACAATTGCTGCACTTTGTAGACACGGATAGAGACGGCACCGGAAATGCTTTCATTGAAGTGACTATAAATCGGTGACCGAGTGATGGAATTGAGACGATTTAACTGTCTTGAAGTCCACAAATAGATTCTCTGATTAAGAAAAATAAAATATTGTTAAAACTGGAATAGTCTGGAACAAATTAAACAGATTTAAACTTACGTATAGAAATATAAACAATATAGCGACGATTACTATAAGAATAGCCGTATAGGCATTCGTGTAGATAATGACACCAAGAATAAGCAGAAACCATATGAAAGTCATAGTGGTTTCACTCATACAAAATGGTATTTCTTCGTCAATCTGCTCGAAGTCGCGATTAAATCGGTTTATGATTCGTCCCAAAGGGGTCACATCGAAGAAGGACAGAGGGGTTCGCAGAATGCAATACAACATGTCTTTGTGTAGTACTTCCGAGGCTTTGATAGCTCCGTATCGCATGACAACTTGCATTATAAGGACTAACACGGCGTCCAAAACAATAGCCGACAGATAAATACTTAAGAAGTAATTTCTGTTGGATTTGTCTTCAATTAGTGTTGAGTTCTGTGACGTCCAGATGTTTAGCCAATAGTTAGCGCCGACTTCACACGTATTGAACAAAACGGCACACATTAGAGGAAATAATACGAAAAACAGCGGAATTCGTCTCAAATAATCCAAATAAACAGTGAATTTAATGGATCCAAACTCTTGGGACTCCTCGTCAATCAGTTGACTATTTTCGGCTTCTCTTTCCATTTTATCCTTTAAGGTCTTCGGTTCAGTCGTATCGCTCTTATGTGATACTTGAGTCGATAAATGCCTGGATATCTGTCTCGATGTTTGTCTCGATATCTTTCCTATTGAATCACTTTCACTGACTCGAGAGGTCTGTCTCGACATCTGATCCCCACTTCCTTTGGGCTGATTGTTCGACTCATTGAACTCGTGGTCGGAAAGCACTCCCCTCTCAGCCAACTCGTCATAACCGCCCGACTCAACAACCCTTCCCTCACTCAACACCAGTATGTGATCGGCTTCGCGAAGGAATTCCATGTGA